ATTATTGGTATTATTGTTGTCATGAGAATAGGATTTCAATCCTTCATGTTACATTCTCTTTGATACTGCATGTCAATCAATTTCTCTGACATTTTGATCTTTTATCTGTAAAATGGGATACAAATTTGTGACATTAAGCACCAGTTGCATGTTGGGGCAAATCGTGACAAATCTGCAAGCACTATACTAACATAAACTATAGGGAAGAAATAAAAGGAAATAAAGTTACCAGATGTACTAGTGTGCTCTTTGTATACAAAGATATCACCGATCTTCCATCAGTAATATACACACTTTGGATCATATTTCCAGTAGTGCTGATCTCTTGATAGTTTTTCATCTATACCTCCTAATATCCAAGGGCCTGTATTGGAAGAATAGGCTGAATAGTTTGAAATATTTTTCTTGCTCATTTTCTGATTCTTAAAAAACAGTGAGTATATTATTTTTATCTGTTAACCATGGACACTGTATTTCCATTACTGAAATGAAGTTAAATTGAATATAGTATCAGTTGTAAAATATTATCTCAATTTTTTTTTAAGCATCTACCATGTTCCAGTCTATGTTGTAGGTCCTGGGGATATAAAGACAAAAAAGAAACTGTATTTTCAAGGAGCTTACATTCTAGTAGTAGAGACAGCATGCACATGTACGAGTATATTAAAAATGCATTCATGTAGGATGATTTGGAAGGAGGGAAACACTGGCAGCTGAGAGTATTAGAAAAAATCTCATGTAGAATGAAAGGTTTGAAAGAAACTAGGTATTCTAAATGGCAGAGGTGAGCGAATGTATTTCTTCTATTGGGCAGAGCCAATTCAAAGGAATAGGGTATTTCTCCAGGTCTCTCTCCTCTCTCTTCTCTCTCCCCACATATATACACATGTGAGTATGTATGTCACATGTTATATGTATATGTGTATTATATACGTATATATGTTTATGTATATATATATGCATGCATATACATATACACAGGCATATATATATATATATACACATAAACACACTTACTTGTATATACGTATTGTATGTGTTTACATATGTGTATGTATATGTGTGCATTCACACGCATGCATAATACATGTGCACACATGTGTGTGCATGTGTATGTTTATGCTCACTGACCTATCTAATGGGAATACTAACTACTAACACTGATGACCAAACCTGTATATCCATTATTAGTAGTTTTGACTGAAACACAAAAAGAGATTCTGATGGTGAGTGACTCATTGGTCAGCCATTTCTTACTCTGGAGACCTGCTATTGTATTCAATAAGCATCTAAATAAAGATGAACAAATTTAAAGAAGACAAATTTCAGGAGACAGAATTGGAAACTTTCCTTTTTCCTCAGAGAAACACATTACTAATCTTTGAGGCAGTAGTTGGAAAATGAAAAGTCATTCTAGAGCTATTAGAAATGTTTTGATAAATTAAAAAAAAAAACTTGCTTGTAGGGGGATGGGGAAGGGGAAGATGATGCAAAGACTTTTACAGAAGTAGATAGAAGTAAAAGAAATATGAGTGGGTGTTGTGGGAGGGTGACAGGATTGCTTCTTTATCAAAGAACACAAAGTGGACACAACGCAGGTAAGTGAGTTTATCCAAGGCTCCTTTTGGCACAGAGAGACATTGGATGAAAGAAGCATTGTCTACCAGACAAGAGTTTTAGACTCAATTGCAACATGATATGTTGTGAGCAAAGAATAAAATGGCAAAATTGGATAAGGATCTCTTTGAAAGAAGTAGCCTTCAAATATGGGATTACTACTGCAAAGTAATAAGGTTTAGGTTAATTCATGAAGAAGCTTTATCACTAAGAACAGCCAGCATTTGAAATGTTCTGCCTCTAGATGTGCTGTACTAAGGAGATTAGATGTCTGACTGTATTTTTCTTGCACACATGAGAGGAATAATTTTCAAAATTGGGATCAAAATATTTTTTTCCTCCAGTCATCCAGGAAGAGATGTTTTCACTCCTTTGGAATCTGAGAAATTAACTAACCTGGGAGCAAGGGACCTTAGAACTTCATAGAATCTTAGAATTTTAATGCTGAGCTAAATCAGATCTTAAAGACCTCTCCATCATCTTTGGGGATTCTGTATTACTGAAAACACAGCTATCACTGGGACTTTAGGAGAGTCCAAGTGTTCTTTTCTTTTTTTTTTAAGACCTTATCTTCAAAACACCAAATGTTACTTGTTTATATAAAATCTTAGCCTGCCTCTGTGCACTTTGTACTGAGACCTACCTAACGGCATGGAAATAATTATCTGAGTAGAGCAAGCCCAAGCAAAGTAGCTGATCGTGAAGCTGAAAAAGCATTTTTGGTTTTAATGAATTACTGATTCAAATATTTTGTCCCATTATTATATTCAATGTTTGATGCACTTTAGAGGTTTTTTTGTTGTTGCTGTTGTTGGATTTTTGTCTTTGTTTTGTAATGGGACTTAAGGCATTTTCTAATGTCAATGTGCTCACTGATTGATTCACTGATTCATTTGTTCAATAAGCACTGGTTGAACGCTTACTGACTATTCTCCAGCACCATGCTATGTGGCATAACAGTTAAAAAGAGGAATGAGACAAAGGCTCTATTCATAGTATTTATTAATTTCTAAAACCTCAAACCCAAGTTGTTTGATTAAATGGAACTTAAACTTGGCCGACCTTCAGGGACTTTTTAATTGAAAAAAATTCACCCATTTGCACTATGTATGTATGTGTGCTTGTGTGCATGTGTGTATACACACTTCTATACACACACACATATGTGTATATATATATATATATATATATATATATAGTTTTTTAATGCAGGAGAAAAATATTTAATTCAAAGAGTTACTATTTTAGATACATGTTAAAGTTATTGAATACAATTCCATTATTTTCCACAGAACCCCAACCTCTAGGCAGCCTGGGGGATGATGATTCAAACACAGATCAACCACATTTTTTTAAAATATATATACATACATATATATATATATATATATATATAGCTAATTCCCATGCATTCAAGGATAACATGGAACATATCATGAAAATTTCTGTCCCTGATAAGAACTTAATTTTTCAATTACTATACATCTGAGAGACCTGGAATTCAAAATAATGAACCAAGATGAATTTTGAATTTTGCAAAAAAAATAATCCAACACGTTATATTGACAGAATATGGTATACTTAATATGTGAAATATTTCTGTTATATGATATCCTTTCTCATACAATGAATAAGATTTATTTTTGTTCCTTTGAACATGACACAACAATAGTCAAATGTTCCCCTACCAATGCCTCCTGTAAAGCATGACAATCTAATGAAAACAATTTCTCAACATTTAAAACAAGTTGTTTGGGTTTGACTATTTCATAAAGATATAACCCAAAACAAAAAGCAACCTCCATCTGCCAGAAGCCAGAGGTGTTTCAATCTAGGGAAAATGGGTCATAAGTACTCATTTGGATTCTGTTCAATTTATCACAGTGTTTGACACTTTTTAAGTGTCAATATATTTCTTTTACTTTGTTATGTTTTGTTTTATGAAAATTTTTTTTCATTTATTTCATGCTAAGAATATTCATTGCCATTATTTGCTTCAGAAATATTAATTCTTTTTACCCTGAAAATGTGGGTTATCAATGAAACTCTGAACTTTAATTTTGCCATCTTCCCTCTGTTAAAGATTAGGGCTTTTCTTTCTCTATAGCAAATAATGAGAAACCCCAAGGTCCTAGTAGCTTGTCAAAAATCTTAGAATGAAGTATCTTAGAATTGAATAGAAAGAAAGTGCTACTTCTCAGCTACGGTTTACTGATCCTCTAAGCAATAATGTGTTTACCCATTATTGGGTAATTGCTTTGGTGTTTACCAAAGCAATGGTTAAACATATTGGTAAAATCTGTTCAAGGTCCAAGTAGCATCAAGTCTAACAATCAGTGGCAAAATATAGAGAATAATTACTTATATTCTTGATAAGATGGCAACCATAACCCTAGACTTCTACCCTTCCATTACCCTTTGTTTCTTTCTTTGTTTCTTTCTCTCTTTGTTTCTTTCTTTCTCTCTTTGTTTCTTTCTTTCTTTCTCTCTTTCCTTCTTTCTTCTTTTGCTTCAAAACATGCTTCCCACTAACCTTAACCTCTAAAAGTACGCTCAAAAACTTTATAGTAGCTGACATAATTTTAAACCATGAAGGTGAAATGTTTGTGTATTTCAAAGATGTGAAGTTTTCCTCCTCAGAACTGACATGAAGAGTAGAGAGATTTTAGAGAGGCTATCAAATGTGTGCCTAAAATCTGAGGGGAAATTTTTGCTCATTTATATTATGCCATTTTAAAAGGATGAATACTTGCTAAAGAGTAATTTGTGTGTCCAAATGAGGGGCACTTATTCAAAAGCAATTGAATTGTTTCATAGGAGGAAAAACAGTTTCAAATTTTTGTTGAATTGGAATGGAATATTTAATAATATGTACATTTATTGAAAAATAAAATTTTGAAAAATACTTTTTTAAAATTTCTTATAATGGAAAGGTTGTACCTGATCATTTCATTAGAAAAAAAGATAGGTAGAATCATTCACAAAATACTTGGACATTCTAAATAGTCTCTCTCAAGTCTATTTAGATAAAATGTGTATTTCTTCCAAACAAATTGGTTTTGGAATTATGTGCCATTGAGGCTAACATGTTCTTTTTATAAAAATATTTGGGCTGTGTGCAGTTGTTAATGTTTGAAATAATAATGCATTTTATTTGACTTTTTAAAATGCCTACCAATGCAGTTGTATTTATCAACTTTTACAAGGTTGAGAAGTTAAAAAAAGATAAAATGTAATAATCAAACACAAAAAAGACAGCCAAATACCAGAATGTAGCAACACTTACACAAAAGGTGCACACTGCATCATAGCCAAACTCATGGCATATATGAAATAAAGAAAATATTCAGATAACCATTAAAGTGTTCAAAGCTTGCACTTACCAACCTCCACAACACTAGAGCAGTTGGGATCTGTGAAGCCATCTGGGCATGCACAGGAAAAAGATTCATCGGCCAGTTCTGTCAAACAGATTCCTCCATTTTCACATGGGTTGGAGTCACAAATATCACCTGCGGATTGAAGGAACGGGTACTGAGTTTTTCATCCATCCCATCAATCCCATCCAAATGGATTATCCATTAATAGGTAGAGATTCTGTCGTATTCAGTTTTATGCAAGTAACTTTCTGTAGATTTATTTGATGCTACCTCCTTCTAGAACAAAGATTCCATGAAATGAAATCCATATAAATGTGTGATTCAAACATGGCATGAAGAAATCTGTTTGTCATTTGGTTGTGTTTTGAGATGTTGAAGTAGAATAAAGAAAAAATCATTAAAACAAGAAGCAATAATGTTGACCCTTTTATATTGAAAAGTGTATGTTAATTGCTGTTCATAAGTTTAAACAAAAAAGAAAATAAAAAAACAATGAATATGTTGAATATAGAGAAGCATGAGAAGACCTATGTGAATGAATTCAAAGTAAAGTAAGCAGAACTGGGGAAAACAATATACACAATACTGTAATAATATAAATGGAATACAGTAAATGTAATCAATCATATTTAATTAAAACAAGTAAATTTGTCTTGGAAAAAGAGGTGAAAATATTCCTTCCCTATATTCTTTTCCGAGTAGAGAAGTATGGGTGGGGCACACTGTATACTATATACCAAACTCATAGTTCCCAACCTCTAAAAATAAGACTAATTTGATGTCCTTGTTAGTTTTTTTTAATTAAGTTAAATTTTTTTTGGTTGAATTTTAATTTTCAAGCTGTCTCCCTCCCTCTCTCTGTACCTCTCATTAGAGAAAGCCGCTATTTGGCATATATATACACACACACACATACACACACACACACACACATACACATATATGTATATATAAGAATGTATGTAAAACTATACTATGCATACTTCTGTTTATCACTTCTTTCTCTGGAGGTGGATAGCATTTTCCTTCATAATTCTTTTGTAGTTGATTTGAATATTTATAATACTCAGAATAGCTTTGTCATTCACAGTTATTCTTTGAACAATATTGTTGTTGCCATAGCCAATGTTCTCTTGATTCTGCTCATTTCACTCTTCATTGTTTCCTGCATATCTTTCTATGGTTTTTTTTCCCCTAAAATCAACCTGCTAATGATTTCTTACAGGACAGTAGCACTGTGTCACAATCATTTACCACAATGTATTTAGTCATTCTGCAATTGATGGGCATCCCCTCAATTTCCAGTTCTTTGCCACCACAAAGAGAGTTATTGTGAATATTATAGAACAAATAAGTACTTTTCCTTTTTCCCAGATCACCTTGAGAAACAGAACTAATAGTGGTATTGCTGGGTCAAAGGGTTATACACAGTTTTATAACTCTTTGGGCATAATTCTGTATTGCTCTAAAAATGGTTGGATGTGTTCACAATTCCACGAAAAGTGTATACATGTCATATGAACTCTTTATGAGCTCTTATATATATTTATTATTTGGTGAACAATTTCTTTCAGAGCACTCTTAAATATGTACACTAGGTTCTGATTTCTTAAAAAAAAAAAGCCCTGTGATTACATTGATGTAAATAACTTCTATTGAGAAAATTCCTTCTTCCCTACAGGTTGACCTCTTCTCTACACTTTATAATCATATAGAGCTGTCTGTGGCATTGGAAGGTTGAGTGACTTGCCTAGTATCATATATCCCATGAATATCAAAGGCAGGTCTCAAATCCAGGTTCTTGATTCAGAAGTAAATCTTAGTTCCATTATACCAAAGTATCATTTACTAAATATTAAATATATATGTGTACATATACATACATATTGTATATATATAATATATATATATATTTGCTTCATTTGTTTGTACTCTAATTTTATTGGAAGCTAATTGAAATATTTTTATTTGAGTTGAAGGTGAATGATAATGTGACCATAGATAAAAATTCTACAATTATTTTGTATCAAAATCCAATAAATTTCATTGTAATACTGCTTCACAGTGCATCTGATTTTTCCTGTTTTTTATGTTTATAAAATAATTATTTGAAAATACTATGCTCAGTCTTACATCACTATTGTTTTGATCATTTATAACAGTATTCAGAAAATATTGGTAATTTGGCAATTATATAATGGAATTCAATAAATAAATTATTCATAAAAAGCATTTTTAAAGAACTACTATGTTCCAGGAACTGTGGTAGGCACTGTGATACAAACACAAAAAGGAAATAGTACTTGGCTTCAAAGACTTCTATTATGGAGATAAGTGTGTGTGTATACATATATGCACATCTACATGTATACATACAGAACAATGATAAAACAGGAATAGCACTAGCAAATGGGAGGGAGAGATCAAGATCAGGGAAGACATTGGTAAAAGGTGATGCCTAAAGTACATTTTAAAGGAAATGAAGAATTCTTTGATGTGGAGGTGAGGAGAAAGTGTTTTTACTGGCACAAGAGATGACCAGTGCAAAGACAGAAATGAAGAATGGAGTGTTATGTGGGAGAAACAAGGAGAAAGCCAGTATGGCTTTGTTGTCTAAAAGAGAGTAGAAATGAGGCTAGAAATAAAGGTGGAGAGAAAGCTATGAAGACTTTTAAAAGACCAACAGAAGTTTATATTTGATTCTCTAAAGAGTACAGATGAGTACAGGAACAACATAGTCCACTTTGCACTTGAAGACAATCATCTTGGCACCTATAAAGAAGATGGGTTGTAGTGGAGAGAGACTTGAGGCACAGAGATTAGTCAAAAGGCCGTTGTGAGGGTCCAGGCAAAAGGTCTTGAAGGCCTGAACAAAGGTGATATCTTTAGGAATAGAAAGACAGGATTGGATGTGAGACACTGAAGTTGAAATTACAAAATTTGGCAATTTATTGCATACTATGTTATGAGTGATGGTGATAGAAGGCAGAATTTAAAGGGTTGAAGAGTGAAGAAGAGGTAATGAAGAGGAGACAGTGAGTACAAATAATAGCTTGTTATAGATGGGAAGCAAACTAAATAACACTATCAACCTGGTCTCATAAAACAGCAAGCTCTTAAATGACTGACTCTATTATTGGTAGTTACCTGTGGTTGTGTGAGACAAATGATTTTGTAACTATAAGCATGTGTTTTTTTAAAATTTATTTTTGTGGTTGTGTTCAGCAGTTTCAGACATGTCCTACTTTTCTTTATCCCATTTGGAGTTTTCTTGTCAACGATACTGGAATGGTTTGCCATTTTCTTCTCCAGCTCATTTTACAGATGAGGGACTGTGGAAAATAAGGGTTAAGTGACTTGTCAAGGGTAATACAGCTCATAAATGCCTGAGGCCAAATTTGAATTCAGATCCTCCTCATTCCAAGCCCAGTGCTTTATCCAGTGTGCCTCCTAGATTTTTATTTTTGTTTTATCATTTCTATCATTCTATTTTTCCGTGATTTATTATAATCCTAAGCTATGGGAATGTGTATCTATGTCTTTGCAGTCTGGCAAGCAATGAATTTCATTTTTTAAAAATTTTTTTCATGTTTCTGATTTAATAGCAAATTAATTTGCATAGACTAGGAGTGCTGTATGGCTGCCATACATCTGTAACAACTTGGGAAATGTGATGATGTCAGAATTATTATTTTCAATGGCATTTTGCCCAAAATGATATTGTACCTCAGCAATATAAATGTGTCCTTTCAGTTCATCCAGATTTAAGTTCTATTGTGTCAGAAATTCAGATGCATTGGTAATATGTCCATCAAAATAAATTGATAAATACATAAAAACTGCTTATGATCATTTCTTAGAGAAGTTTAACTGATATAAAACTGTTGCAAGTAAAAGGCCCCCAAAAGCCCAGAAACTGCCTAAAGGAAAATACTTGATCAATTTATCAGAGTGAGGAGCATGGGAGTGAGATAGAAAGAAAATAAATTTCTGTTTATTAAAAAATAAAATAAGGTGTAATTTCATTTGCAAAAAAAATAAAAACTGGAACGAGAGGGTGGGATTGAGAATGATGAAAGATTTTAAACAATATCACCTCAAAAACAAAGAAAAGTTGTTGGGGGGTACAGAAAATTTAGCTTAGATTCAACAAAGCTGAAACATTTACACTTATTTGTAGATGAGATTCAAAAAAAGATTTAAAAAACTATGCAAAATCTAAAAGATTTGAGAGCATTTCTCTAATGATTTATTCCTATCATTAATGATAATGGAAGAATGGCATTTGAACCCCAACAATTTATTTCAATTTAATTCAATAAATATTTCTTAAGCATTTACTATGTGCCAGTTGCTGTGCTAATATCTCAGTATTGAATGGATTATATGCAGTCGTTGAAGTAGTATTTAAGAAGACGAAGTCAGAAAGAACTGGCAGAGGGACATTGTTAAATAGAGAAGAAATCTGTTATAGAAGCAACATAATTCTAAGGCATTCAATGATCAATTTTCTCTATATTTCCAGGAGAGTGAAACTCCAAAAGAATTGAAAAGATTATAGATGATTTCACTGACTCCTTCTCCACCCAATTCCTCCCTCATCCTCCCCAGGTGATTGATAAGGCATTAGCAACTTCTGGCTCATAGATATCTTTTCTCATTCTTAGAGAATCTTCATGAGAATGACTGACACATTTTCTGAGGAATCCCTTCATGAATGTATGAGAAGGGAATAGGCAGGATTTAGAAGATGATTTTCTACTTAAGATCTCATCTTTGGGTACATACTTGATGGAGGGATATAAAGAATATAAGACATCACTGTGCTTGCTGACTGTTGAATGTAAAAAGAGTGTATGACTCCATGCAGCAAAATGTAGCCTTATTGACTCTCCTCCAAGAAGGATTTACCCATTGTTCATTGATTAATAGAACCAGAAAAATATACTTGTTTCACTGATGATCAATGTCAAATGATCAATGCCAAATGAATGTAGAGATATGCTCAATAAAGACATTTGCCATCATCATGGATGATTCTGCTCTAAATCCAAATGTAAGAGATTTCCCTTAGATAAATGAGTTTTTTAGATTTTCTTTTCTGAAATTGATATTGTTCTAGCTGTATCAAG